ATCATAGGCGGCCCACCACCACCGCCACCACCTTGTGATGGTCCGCCACCATAGTTATTGTAGTTGTGCACTTTGGGTACAGCGCCGCCGCCAGAACGGCCATCGCGTGAATCATTTGACTGTAAAAAAAGAGTTACACACGAGTTAGAAATTCGTTAAGATTCGAACTAGTCAATCTATTACATTCTGCATTTTCATCATTTTGCCATTGGGACGTGGCCGATTTTGCTGATGTTGTTGTTGCTGCTGCTGCTGCTGTTGCTGTTCCACCGATTGCGTCCAGCTGACATTCATGTAGCCATCGTCCATGCCCTCGCCACTGTCATTTTGACTGCGATTAAAAATGCGACTGCGCGCGCGTTCATAGTCCTCTTCGCGCTCTTCAAAACTCTTTGCCTTGCGATCAAGCATGCTGCCACGATCCGGACACAGGTAACTACTTTGACGTGCCTCATCGAAGCTGTGCGTATCGCGCTTCAATATTGATTTGCGTGAATCCTCGCGATGATCGCGCACCAACGATTTGAAGCGAATCTGGAGATAAAATGCAATGACGTTAAGCGATTCTAAGCTGAATTAGATAAGCGGAAATTTCGTTCATTACTCACCTCAGGGATGCGTGTGTTTTTTGTGGCTGCCACAATAACGCATTGCTGTGTCTCGGTATCGACATTATGCTCCATGCCAAAGAAGGCCGCTGTGCGATGTATCAACATGCGGTTGTACGAAGAAGCCGGTGGGAAGCGCAACTCACCGCGGCTAAGAAGGAAATAATGTCAATGAATATAAGGCCAAATATGCTGAGACAACCAAAAAAAAACAAAATCTAAATCGTAAGTTAGCCCACTCACCTCTTTTCCTGCACAAATTCCGTTAGATCCTTTTCCACTTTTAGCAGGAAATGTCTGTCCTTTGGATGCTTATTGAGCGTCTCCTTGAAGAAGCTGAACAGATCGGTGCCGCCATGATCGGTGAATTGTTCGCTCGAGTTCTCTGAGTTGTTGAAAACTAAAAATTATGAATATATTAAATTGATTTAATACATTGCCATTACGCACCTCTTGAAATGAAGCCCGATGTGTTGTTACTATTCGAATTGCCACCATCCACGCTGCCCGACGAAGAGCCACCAATATTCTTCAAACGCGGTTTGTTGCCCTTCGAATTGGAGTTGGTGCGATGTTTCTTGCCGCCGCCACCAACTTGGCGCTCGTAATGCTGCTGCTGTTGTTGCGGCTCATCGTCGTGCATATTCGACATGTTGCTGTTCTGGCTGTCGTTGCGTGGGCATCGGTTCTCCTTGTCGTAGGCGATCTGATGGTGTGCTTGCTGCTGATTATCATTCGAATTTAGTTGATAGTTCATGCCGGAATTGTGCAGCGATGTGCTGGCACCGCCACCCATGCCACCACCACCGCCGCCACCACCACCACGCCCCGTCGACGACTCGGCAATGCTTAGCGCTTGATGCAAAGCGTTGCTTGCACTGTATTGCTGCTGATGCTTGTTAGAAGTTATGTTTTTTGTGGAATCATAGGTGCTATTGCCACCGCCGCCATTTGCGCCGGTGTTTGTCATTTTTCTGCTATTGTTGTTGTTGTTGTTGTTGTTGTATTCTATTTTGTTGCTGCCCTCAGCAACGCCATTACTATTATTGCTGCTGCTACTACTGCTGTTGTTGTTGTTATTATTGCGCTGACTGCCGCTACCGCTACCGCCGCCCCCACCTCCACCTCCTCCTCCGCCTCCTCCTGCGCCACCACCACCCTTTGTCGATTTCGGCGGTGTTAGTTTGGGGAACTCGGTTTCGTTGCATAGTGCCACATTCGGTTGTTGCTGCTGCTGTTGTTGGTTGTGTTGACTAGTTACAATCACTGCAGGCGCTTCGATTATCGGTGAATTGCCACGGGCTGCATTTGATTGTGCATGCAATTTGTTGTTGTTGTTATTATTATTGTTGTTGCTATTGCTATTGTGTATATTCTCATTGCCATCCATGTTGTGCTGCTGCTGCTGCTGCTGCTGCGTCTGATGGTGATGTGGTTGTTGATAATTGTTGGCCGATTGGCCATTCGGTGACACCTGTCCGTGCTCGGCACGTGGTGTAGGAGTACGCGGTGGCGAAGTGGCCTCACGCATAGCGTGACTACGCGTCAAATGCTTACCCTTCATGTTGCCCTGGAAGCAAAAACAAAATAAATAAATAATATACGAATGGAAGGCTGAATTTTACCGCACGATTAAATTAAGCCTTTGACATTGTCAAATCTATTCCAATTACAATGCAGAGCTCCCAAAAACCTGTAAAGCTACTACTGAAAAAACACAAAGCCAGAACAATTTCAAGAGATCTGATGATGCGGAGCTACAAATTATACTGGTGGAAATCAATTATGGACAATTTGGAAGAAACAGAGTGCGAGGCAGGTTACTTCAATGTTTGCCTTATATGGAAGCTACAGCCTGATTAAGGTTGCCACCTGTTCGAAACTAGTTACAAATAAAATTAAACATCATGATATGGGTATCAAATGGAAACCATTTTAAAAATCCCCAATTCAGAAATATGTTTGAGTGCGGTTGCCACCTATTTTGAATCATGTATATCTTTAATTTTTTATCTCGAAAATAAAGATACAATATTACTATTCATAGGGACTAAAAGAAGGCTCTTAAACAATCCTTTGCCTATATGTGACCTGGTCTACGAAAAGGGAGGTTACGTGCGAAAACTAGTTTTCTGTGAAAAAGCTGTTAAAAGTAAGC